CCATTTTTAACCTTCCTTCCTTCCATCCTTCCTTCCTTCCTTCCTTCCTTCCTTCCTTCCTTCCTTCCTTCCTTCCTTCCTTCCTTCCTTTCTTTCTTTCTTTCTTCCTTCCTTCCTTCCTTCCTTCCTTCCTTCCTTCCTTCCTTCCTTCCTTCCTGTAAAGAATTCTTGTCACTAACACTTCTTGCTCTACAGGGTACGACACTAAATGTTTTTGATGCCGCCTAAACTGAATTTTAAAATCCCGTTTTCATTTCTGATGGAAAGTGAGATTTTCACTTGTGATTGACAGTTGTTCTGTGTTTGTTTCCATCTCGGCTGTCTTTAATCGGTGTGACCCGTCATCAGATCTGTCCATCACCTAACTGTTATGTAGCATTTTACCGCTGTAGCATTTGATCGACTCAGAWCTCTGTCTTGATATTTGAAGCATTTCCTGTAAATCTGGACCGCCTGTTGTTCGCCTCGTTATCCGTGCACTTCACCACACTGCAGAAAAAGCCAAAAAACGAACGTACGAAGCACTGTTCATACCTTTTCCTGACAACTTACTGCTCCAAACTAAGTAGTAGCGTAGCATCGCGGATCCTTTCTGCTCTTCATGTTGATGTGGATCGTAGGAACACTGAGTCAAAACTGTGAAATCCAACTAATCTTGAAGGAGTTGATGTAAAAACAGCCCAGGAGGAGGTTGACGTTTGAAGCCTGTACAGTCAGAGGACAAGCTGGCTCACCAGGAGCTCATCTTTAATTCATTTTGGACACTGAAGGAAGGCCTTCGTCCTCTAATAAAACTGCCCCTAACAGCATTTAAATTCATCCCCTCCAAACAATTGGCATGTCAGGTACGCTTGGACATCGTGTCATTTGACTTTTTGTACACAGGTTACGTGCAAACAAGAGGAAATTATGCACACTTGTAATATTTTCTATTTTCATATGAGATTTAAGTGCTTTTTGTACTCACGAACATCTTTTTTTCTTCCTTGCATGAGATGCAAGAGGGAGGAGGAAAAAAATGTTTTTCATAAAGTATATTTGCATTTAGTACTCCAGTAATAAAAACCAGTGGGCAGGACATTACGTTTCATAATTTCATTTACAAAACTATGCCAAGTATTTTAAAGCTATTTTTAGAGTAAATCAAAAGAGAGCTCATTCATTTTCTTGTTTTTTTTCTTTCTTTAAGACATGCCTTTATCTTTGTATCTATAAATACGAGCATAATCCATAGTCATGATTGTGCCACTGTTGTATGATACTGCAGTCTGATTCATAAATAAACTCTTTGCATGAATTTGATTTGGTTGTGAATATTTGCTGCCTTCTCCAACAGAGCGCATGTCTTCAATAAATGTACATTTTCTGGTAGGTTTTGGTGAAAAATGCAACATTTTTGGTGCAAAAATGAACATTTTTCAAGTAAATGAAGACAACATGATGAAACAAATGTTTTCAAGTCATATTCTAAAACAYAGATTTGTAATTTTTATAGAAATAACTGGTTAATGTTTAAGAAGACGTAAAGTGTATCAACACAAATATCAAATATTAAACTATAATTCTGTTCAGACTTATTGCACAAATAGTTTAATTGCTATTTTTATAAAGCACAACAAGTCACGTAAAACTTGAAAACTCAAATGTTTTTACTTTCCTCAGCAGCAAAATCAGATAATCATGTTTGTTTTTAAAGTAAATCAGTTTTTTTTTTGTCGTTTTGGAGACTGGAACAGTTCACCTCTGTTGTTTGTGAACCTCCAGCCTCAGCTGTCCGTCCAGCTGCCTCAGAGTCCAGCTCGGTAAGTGGACGTTAAATCTGTCAGCTCGCTCGGGTCCGCTCAGAAACTGCAGTCATGCAGAGACAGTTGTTGTCCCAGTTGTTCCACWCAGAAACAGGCCTAAAGGCTGGAGCTGAACCCCAAACCATCAAAACACCATTTAAGTCCCAGTGTCTTTACTCTGTGTAACAACATGGAACAAGTTTAAAGTAAAAAGTAAGGACACAAGAATAATCTTTTTTTCTATTAAAAGAAAACAAAATAAAAACAGCAACAACAACATTGAAAATCATTGAACGTAACCGAAGCTGATCCAGAAAACCACCACAGGATGGAGACAAACAACAAATAAACAATAAAGTTTTCTGTTGAAACACCCAGGAATTAAACACCAACTGTTTATTAAAAACACAAAATTATTTTATTCTGATTTGATAAAGAAAACTTTACTAAGATAATGTTGAGTTGTTCGTTGTTTAAATAAAAATTTTCTCATATTTTTTATGAATCTAATGAGCAAATATCTATTTTAATTAATTAAAGTTGAAACTTTACTTCCCCACTTTTGAAAATTAAACCAACATTTGCACTTTTTATACATTTATCCTGTGTAGCCTGTATGTGATGTTGAGTTGTTCATTGTTTAAATAAAAATTTCTTATATTTTTTATGAATCGAATGAGCAAATGTCTATTTTAGTTGATTAAAGTTGAAACTTTACTTTCCCACTTTTGAAAATCAAACCAACATTTGCACTTTTTATACATTTATCCTGTGTAGCCTGTATGTGATGTGATGATATCATTGAAAAAAAGTTACTTAAAACTTATTTTAAACATTTTTCAGGCACATTTTTTATTCAGTTCAATTAAAAAATATCCAAAAATACTTTTAAATAAAAGAAATGATGAAAGATGGAGGAAGCCCTGACAGC